GGGCAAAAGAAAGGCAATACAATCACTCTAGGTGTAGGGACAGTGTATAATATTAATATATGATAAATAATGGAACAATTAAAAATAATAGCACTGAGTTTTCTCTCTCCCCCTCTTCCTTCTTCTTTTTTTCTTTCTCTCTCTCTCTTTCTCTCCCTTCCTCTTTCTTTCTTACTCTTTCTTTCTTTCTCTCCCTTCCTCTTTCTTTCTTCCTATTTTTCTTTCTTTCTCTTTCTTTTTTCCTCTTTATTTCTTTCTCTCCCTTCCTCTTTCTTTCTTGCTCTTTCCTTCTTGCCCTTCCTCCCTTCCTTCCTTCCTTTTCTTCCTTGACTCACTCACACACACACACACACACACACACACACACACACCTTTTCTGGGAAGAACTTATTGGGAAACTCCAGAGCAGCGAGCGGAGGGACAATGAAGAAAACAGCAGCCCCAGAACATCCATCCGCCCTCCCTTTCGAAGCACAGGGGGGCTGAGAGGGGCGGGAGGGGGGTGCCCTGAAAGGCAGGGAGAAAGCAAACAGAAAGGTTTTCTGTTCGCTTTCTCTGCTGCGCTGGGGCTGGGGCTGGGGCTGAGAGGGGCAGGTGGGGGTGCCCTGAAAGGGAGGCCGGGAATCCTGGGGCTGCTTCCCATAGCTGCACTGCCGCCACCACTGCCCCCCGCCTCTGGACTGGCCCAAAAAAGATGCCCCACCTTGGCACCCTCCCACCCAGAAAGGCCCCGTGCAGTGGGGGGAGGCCTGGAAAGGTCCTGGGGGGTGGGCGAGGGCCTAGTGAGATGCAGGCTTACCTGTGAGCAGTGCAGTCAGATCAGGGCTGCTCAGTTGGGGTGCAGGCACCACGTGGGGAAGTCAGGTTAGGCAAGCCATGAAGGGCCCAGCGTGCCACATAGGAAGGGAGGAGTGACTAGGCGGAGCAAGCGGTAGGCAGGCAAGCTGCCCGAGTGAGCATCAGGTGGGTGGGGCAACTGAGCAACCAGGCACCGAGGAACTGGTTCGGGGGCGTGGTCAGCCAGAAGTTGCTACCAGTTCCACGACCCATGCCAAATTCTTGCTACCGGGTCGCCAGAACCATTGTGAACTGGCTGAATACCACCTCTGGGGCAGACCTCACCTCAGCCACTAAGATGTTCCCCAAAATGGGAGCCAGATTAAAAAGACTCCTCCTAAAACTCTTTGACCGAGGAAGTCCACAGCACGCCCCTTCTGCTGGATTGAGTGAAGTGGGCAATTCCATTGGGACAAGTTGGTTTGTCCAATAACCTGGTCCTATGCCTATGCCCTGTGCTTAATTGAGAACTGCAAAATAATGTTTGCATGTGTTAGGCTGGGTTTGCATAACATATTAACTTAATTGTGACCACATGAGCTAAGAAACCTACCCAATGTGATATACTGATGATAGGTTGTGCAAGCCCAGGCAATCAATAGTGTATAGCTGCCCAAGCACAGCTTTTATATTGTAAATGTAGCAACAGAGTAAGTCATTTGTTGACCTCAGCCACAATGAAAAGTATCATCTGGAGGGAGGTGAAGCTATTAAAGAACAGCCATTAAAGGAGAAGAGATCATGAGAAGGATCACTGCTCAACAATAGAGCACATGCTTTCTGAATAAAAGTTCCTTCATCCCATTTGAAATATCCAATGTAAATGACCAGTTGGCAGAGTATGAAAGTCTTTGAATGATGTTTTCAATAAAGCCTTGGCTCAGAGCTCTATAGTGTCAGCCCTTGAAAACTTAGATGAACTCCCCTAACGCATTCTGAAAGTTGCAACTAATGTTTAACAACAGATAAGCATTAAATATGGGGATCTGATAAATATCCCATAATGGTCCCCAAAGAGTTAATTGCTAAGCCTTTATTGTTCCACATGATGAGACTACAAGAAAGATACTTACTTTTTCCTGATGAATGAACTATGTTTAGCACAGGTATTTTCTTCTGCTAACTAGGAATTTTGGGAAATGTAGTCCCTGCACTACTGGAAGGCACTAGATTGGAGCAGAATGGTGTAAAAGTTTCAAATCTTTTCAATACCTAATTCTGAGCCATACTAACTGTAATTTTGGGAAACAATATACAGAAAAAGCATGGAACCACCACAATGCTGTGGTGGTTTTGAATGATTTTCTCAAAATTTAAATAATGTAGATAAGACATTTCTCATTCTTCCTGTGAGAAATATGTATATATGTATGTATGTATGTATGTACATATGTCAGGGCTAGCCACAGTATGAACAGAACATAGTAAAACAGTCCAGCTTCAGACTGCCAAAAGAGAGACAATGTTGTATACTCTCCCTTTATTTATGTACTTATATATTGAATATACTTTAAGGGAAGCCAGATCGGAAGATATGTGTGCTGGAGGAAGAAATATCAGTTACCCGTGCTATGCTGAAAACACTACCCTGACAGCCAAAGGCACTGCCAAACTGCCAACTGTAGCAGTAAAAATCAAGGTGCACAGTGAAAAAATGGGACTAAGATTAAATATAAAGAAGATGAAATTTATGACAACAGGTAGAACAGCCTTAGAACTGATAATGAAGATACAGTATTGCCGTGGTGGATAACTTCTGCCGTTTGGGATCAACTATCACAGTAAAAGAACAAGCAGTCAAATTTTAGCACTTGATAGAGCAGCCACGAAGGCCTTGGAAAAGATATTCAACTGCCATGTTATGTTTATACCTACTGTACAAAGTTCAGAATCATGTAAGCCATGGTATTCCCTGTGACATTCTGTGGAAGCAAAAATTGGACAGTAAAGAAGCAGGATAACAAGTGTTTTGACACCTTTGAATGTTGGAGAAGACTCTTGAGAATATTGTGAAACTTTGCATTTTGGTAATATTCATTTTCACACCAAGAGTTACTATTTTTATCTGTGCATTGCATGCACACACATATAGATTCCTATAGGCCAACTCACCAATGCTGAAGGTTTTTCTTTATTTAATGAACATGGTGTTCCCAGATTGCTATCTCAGCTAGAGATTATTAAGAGTATCCTTCACTGGGTTCCAAAATACCACTGATTGATGTGAAAGACCGAATGAGACAAGGAGGAGCTGGAACTTGGTTATAAGCAGCTACTTTTAAAAATAGTCTGGTTCATCTTACAATGACTCTGAATATACCAATTAAGCAAAATAAATAAGCCCTGCTGAAATGTGGGACCACAGGTGCTAGAATTTCTTCTGAGCTTGGTAGTTTTAGAATTTTCGACCCAGAATACCTGGAAGCTACTAAGTTAAGAAAAGCTGAATATTTGTAGGGCAAGGTTGGCATTTTTGATGATCCACACACTGACATCTTAATTAAGTGTTGTTTTGAGATTAGGCAACAAAAGCAAGAAGCTTGAAGGCTGACAATCACAAAGTTTAGATTGTGAAAGTGGGGGTTGTGACAGGATCTAATTGCCTCCAAGAGCCCTCTGCCATTTGAAGGAGATGCTTTTATATCACTGGAAACACAAGGAAAGTCTACCAGAATTCAAGTCATTGCGCAGCACAGCTAACCTACAGATACTTCAACATTAAGACTTGGAATGAAATACAGCATAAATCTGAAGCATTCCAATCCCATGATAGATCTTGAGCAAGGGCCTTCAAACTTGGCAAGTTTAAGACTTGTGGACTTCAACTCCCAGAATTCCTGAGCTTACATGACTGGAGGAGGAATTTGTGGAGTTGAAGTCCACAAGTCTTAAAGCTGTCAAGTTTGAAGACCCCTGATCCTGAGGAATTCCTTTGATGCCCTGTCCTCTAATTTACCTGCTAATTCTCTCCAAATGCTTTTTCCTACACAGCCCACCCCATTGAATTCAAATCAGATGACAAGGACTCCTTCAGGTCTTCCTTCATTATCCTATGGACTCTTCAACTTAGCTATATGGAGCGGAAACCCCCCAAATCCCAAATGATTTCCTTTCCAATAAGAATCTCATAGGGCAATCCCAAGGGGAATGAAGCAAAACCAGAAGACTGAGGAAAAGGACTACAAGGCGGTAGTTTGAAAAGGAGAAGATGGAACAGTGAAGGAATGAGATAGCTGCTAGAAGGGAAATAGTAGCCATAACCTTGAATAGGAATAACCTTGAATAGGTACATAACCTTGAATAGGCACATTTTATTTTGTTGCTACTCTCCCCAAAAGACAGAAGAGGAACCAAATAAGAAGAAATAAGAGGAACCAAATAATAAATAATTCTTTAAAGGAGAGGTACAGGAAAAAATAATGGCTGCCCCTAGTAAATCGAGACAATGAAAAACACAGCAGCACCTATATTTCTTGTACAATGCAATGGATGCATAAAGCATCTTTCGTGATGCTCAGGGTATTTCCAAATGATTTCTAGGTAATGAGTTAGGGACTGGTGTTGCAGCAGCCGCTGGCTCATTTTGCATGAAATAGTGTATTGACAGCCTTGGACAGTAAACCTGCCTTTGCTGAAAAGAGATATTACTTCTAAGACTATGTTCATTTTCACTTTTTCTGAAAAAAGGCTGTAGGATGTTATCTGTGGTAGACAGCTTGGCTTAGCCTGCAGGCAAGCACATCTGTCCACACCCATATCTTTTAAGTTATTACTTGGTTGCAACAGGAAATAGGTAGAAATTCTGAAATAGGCAGTCAGAAACTCAGCCATTTTTTTATTTTGTTTTATTCTATTCAATGTGAAACTTTTTTTAAAAAAAGTGTCATGTTTCTGCATCAACAGGGTTCAATTTGTTTTTGTTTTTTTAAACATTCTGTCTGTATTTTCCCAATTTCCTGAGATATTTCTTCATGGCTTGTTGAGTTGATGATTCATACTGGGATTCAACTTCAGGTTAGTGGTTCTCATCCATCCAGCTCATTACACCACCCAGACACCAATCAAATCCTTACAGTATCTTGCTTGATGTCAAGGAAAAAAATAGGGTTGAATGTCATCCTGGTGTTTGGAATTGGATGCCACCAGTACACATGAAGCTGAATCCCACTAGTTGACTAGGATGGGATTATATCTCCATAGAATCGAATAAGCAGATTTATCTCTATCATTGGAGGTACAAATTGCACCAGTGGTTCAGATAGCACTCAGCCAACTGTGCCTGATTCAGCAGCTGTTACATTTCCTCGATTGGAATGGCTCATACTCCCATAACTTCTTTTGGATTATTGGCATAGGCTGCAGACAACTCAGAAGTTGCAATAGTGTAAAATACAGCAGTGAGGTTGTAATCCACAACATTCTTAATGTTGGAAGTGTGTGTTCAGAGGTGCTGATTCTTCAGCACTCCACAACTTACTGATTTATAAGAGACAGAGAAATATAAATAGAGAAATTGGGAACGAAGGCAAATAATAGGATAATGTTGCAGGATCCATTATGGGACAGTCACCAGGACCACAGATTAAGCAGAGCTGCTTAATTGATTTTTGCATCAGTCTTCATGCAAAAACAAACTATAGCCCAACCTACCAAAAACATAACTGCAAAAGGCAGACTAGAAATAAAAGTTAAAGTAAGGAAAAAAAAATGATAAGAGAACACCTGTCTGATCTTGATGAACACAAATAACTGGGACCTGGCAGATTACACCCCGGAGTTCTAAAGGAGCTGGCAGAGGTCATCTCAGAACCACTGCACCATATCTTTCAAAAATCCTGGAGCACTGGGGAACTACCAGAGGACTGGAAAAGAGCTGATGTAGTTCCCATTTTCAAAAAAAATGGGGGGAAGACAGAGATCCAGGAAACTACAGACTAATCATCCTACCATCAATACCTGGGAAGATCCTGGAAAAAATAATAAAAAAAACAGATCTGCTCACATCTAGAAATGAGCAAAGTAATAACTAGAAGTCAGCATGGGTTTGTTAAAAACAAATCATGCCAAACCAATCTTATTTCATTCTTCAACATAGTGACTAAATTAGCAGACCAGCAAAATATGTGGACATAATATATTGTACTTAGACTTCAGCAACACATTTGACAAAGTAGACCACAACCTACTTCTTGGTAAGCTAGAAAAAAGTGGGATAGATAGCATCACCATCAGATGGATTTGTAACTGGCTGACAAACCATACTCAA